CAGAATGTTATCTGGGTCTCTGGATTAACAGTCCAGCAATAATACCACTAGCCCATCGCCTCACCACTAAGGGTGACAATTTCAAGATTGTCAGTAAGAGAACTATGAGTGAGATGAGGAGAAACTTCTTTACTCTGAGATGCACTGCCTGAGTGATGGAGGTGGATTCCATAGGAAGCTTCAAAAGGAGTGTCAAAAATAGAAATATATTTGAAAGGGATGAACTTGGAGGGCTATGGAGACAGGACTGGAAAACGGGACTACAGGAGCCAGTACAGACATGATAGGTGGAATGGTCTCCTTCTGTGCTGCAAATCGTTTGATTCTATGATTCTATGACTGCAAATAGCTCCTCCTTGGGCCTCCAGTGACCATAACTGGTGAATACAACTAATACACTAGGACAGACACTATTGCCCCCTCGATATATAGAAAAATCAACATATTCTGGCACCATAGAAACTGCATGAGGCCATTCAGCCTCTTGATCCTGTCCTACCATTCGATGACATCACGGCTGATCCGACCTAACTCCATTTGTCACTGTTACTCATGTTCCTTAACATCTTTGACTAACAAAGATCTATCCGTCTTAAATTTAAAATGAATAACTGTCTAGCGTCAACTGCCATTTACAGAACAGTTTCCAATCTTCGACCACCATCTATGTGGAGGTGTGTTCCTGATTTTGCTCCCGAGAGGTCTGGCTCTAAGTTTACCCTCCCTAGTCCCACACTGCCCAACCTGTGGTTATGACAAACCAACCAACACTCACCCTTTACATCTTCACTAAAATAGACACTTTCCACTTCCTGCACATTGTAATTCGCACCTTTTTCTGAAATGTTATGTGCGTGACTAACACTGCACTTCTCTGACTCCCACATCCACTCGCATGGCACTTCTAAGCCATTGGTGAGCTGTGCTTTCTGCCTTCTTATATGGCTGAAGAAAGTAGCCAATCTAATTCTGCCAATTCAAAGAAAGAATTTCAGCTGATCTGACCAAAGTGGATTCAATTTGAAACCAGGTTCCCTCACTGACAGCAGTGTGTACCATCTACAAGATGCTCTGCAGTAACTCACCAAGGCTCCCTTAACAGCATCTTCCAAACCCATGGCCACTTCCATCTACTAGGAAAAGGACAGCAGATACATGGGAACACAACTGCCTGCAAGTTCCCCTCCAAACCACTCACCATCCTGACTTGGAAATATATCGCTGTTCCTTCAGTGTCGCTGGGTCAATACCCTGGAATTCCCTCACTAATGGCATTGTGGGTCTACCTACAGCACATGGACTGCAGCGATTCAAGAGACAGCTCACCACCACCTTCTCAAGTAAAACTAGGGATGGGTAATAAAATGGGTAATAAAATGTTGGCCCAGCCCACGTCCTGAGATTGTATAAATGGTGATCTGCTCAGTTCCCTCTTCCCTGAATGTCCATATGTCTCTGCTCAAAATGCTTAAACAAAGTTTGTGACTGTGAAGAAAAAGTAAAGTATTTTTTACAGGAGTTTGGTAAGTCACTGAGAGCACGGCTACCTGGTAACCTCTACTAGTGGTGTGTTAGTGATGGGACACTGTCATGTGATCACTGATTCGCTGATGTCTGTGCAGCACTATGACATGAAATGTTTGAGTGTTGTGTTCAAAACACAAAGGCAATCCCTGATGAGGGTGAAGAGGTACAGCTCAAAATGACCTGGGGTTAATCTTTAGTCTGTGCTCACCAAATATGCTCATGCAAAACTCTTTGACCATGATTTCGCACATCAGGCTGCTTGTTTGAAATAGACTGTGCCTCTGTTGGAATTTTATACAAATGTCATTAAGGTGTGTCTTTCACATCGGAATGCGCCACCCCTAAATTAATCTGTACTACGCAAGTGAATAGTGCATTCTTTGGAACAGAGTGGAATCTAGTCGAGCAAGGTAAATGGAACCGTGTCTTTTATCAGTATATGCTTTCAAGTTAGTATTGAATCTGACTCCACGACCCAGCATTGAGGTAGCATATTCCAAGTGGCAACAACTCTCTACATTTTGAAAACAAAATCTTCTCATCTCGTCTCTGCGTTATTTTTACCAAGTCACTGACAGTCACCAAATTGCTGTGAAAATACATTATCTGCCTCTATTCTCACATGGTGGCATGGATCCCTCCCCAGTTCCTGTTCTCATTTGATGTCCATCCCTACACTCTCAATTGCACAGACACACACTCTCTCTCTCACACACACACACACACACACACACACACACACACACACATGATCACTAATTCATGTGCGTGCACACACACACACTCACACACAAAGCCTCACACACACACAGACACGAACACTCACATACAACCACACAGAAAGTCACACTCGTACATACTCTCTCAAATATACATACATTCACATAGAAACAGACACTAACACCAAACATACACATATACATGGACAATTCTGATGAGGAGTCATTGGATCTGAAATGTTAACTTTTCTCTTCCCACAGATGCTGCCAGACTGGCTAAGTTTCTCCAACAATTTCTGTTTTCATTACATGTATACCCACACAAGAAAAAAAACACATTCACTCCCACACATGTGCTCAGACATGTATACATACACACACTCACGTGCAAACAGATATGTGTTTACACACACACATACACACACACGCACACAAACAACATCTGGAGCAGGTTCGAGATGAGGAACAAGATTGTTGGCTAACACTTCACCTGCCATCACTCTCTCGGCTATTCCTCCACCAACTGAGAGTTGCTGAAGCCAATCGTGCAAATTGACTTGACACAGGATAGAGCTGAGGCCTTCCTGGCAAAGTTGACTATCGGGGGTACCCCACACTCCCACATGTGCATGAACACAGAAACAGCTATGGGACGAGCTATGGAGGCCTGTCAATACAATGAATTCAAATAATCAAGGAACTTGGCTGCTGCCACTGCAGATCAGTGAACTCATAGAAATGGCAATAGATACACAGAGCAAAACACAAGATTCATCATCACTGAGGGCTGAGGCAGTGGTGATTAAACCACTTGGCAGAAGACAAATCTGCTCATTCCTGTACTCTTTTGGAGGAGGACATCAAGAATCTCCAGACACTTCATTATTTTGTATGCCAGAATTGTCATGATCACCAACACCAATCTGTTTGAGGCTCAGCTATTTAAATACAGTATTTCAATGTGGGGAAATCCAGATTTTCCAGTAAAGAAACAATGAATGTCTGACCACCTTATTTATGCCTCAGTGGCTAACTATCAGGGTGAAGGGGTTGATGTGGTGGTGGGGCAGAGGGGTTTAGAGAATACCCTCCATGATAGAAATAGAGAAAATTGAGAGAAAGTCATTGAGCCCGTTAAATTTTCACTTTCATACCCAATCTATCCCTTCAGATAACATGATTGCTGTGGCAGATGCCATGACACACACTGCCTATGACTACAAAAGGACGATAAGGGTGTGATAGGAAAGGATCAACTAAGCAAGCAAAGTACACAAAGGGAATTGAAGGTTGCTGGCGAAGGTGAAATACCAACAGCTTCTGGTGGCAATGACTGCAACCCAAAATCAAGTCATGAGATCTTTACTGCTGAAGCTGGTACCCACTTTCACATCTCTGGGACTCCCAATAGTATATTTGACAATATTTAATGGTATCCGGACAAATGCAACATTACAGGATCTCAACCTGCATGCCCACAGATGGGGACCCCTACGTAGGCCAAGAGTTTGCAACAGTGAGTGTGAGGGGAGGGTGCAAAAACCAGATGGGAAGGAGAAGAGGTATCAGCTGGATTTGGCTACGGTTCTATGTGGTAGGATGTTCATCCAGTTTTCATTACAATATGGACAGCAGATATATGGGAATACCACTACCTGCAAGATCCCCTGCAAGCCACACACCTTCCTGACTTGGAAATATATCGCCGTTCCTTCACTGTCACTGGGTCAAAATCCTGGAAGTTCCTCCCCAATGGCATCATGGCTCAACCTACAGAACATGGACTGCAGTGGTTCAAAAAGGCAGCTCACCGCCACCTTTTTAAGGGGCAAATTAGAGAGGGTCAATAAATACTATACCTGCTGAATTAATTGATAGAGTCAATCTGACCTTGAGCAGGCCATGGAAAGCAGAGGTAGGTGAGAGGTCTCTTGTAAGGGTTCCCCAGAAGAAAACAGAGAAAGGGAGGGAGTGCAGTCACCCAAAGCTGTTCCGGGTCACCTGCTGCTAGGCAGTCAGGCAGCCACTAAACCTCTGCCATCAAAGGGCTTGAGTTTAGCACTTGGTCTCACAGTCAGTGAACACATGCATCTTGACAAATGATGAACTAGGTGAGGGAGTTGGTAGACCATAAGATGTAGGAGCAGAAGTAGGCCATTCAGCCCAGTGAGCCTACTCCACTATTCAATGAAATCATGGCTGATCTGATCATCCTGAACTTCACTCCATAACCCTTGCATCCCTTCCTGATTAAAAATTTATCTGTCTCAGCCTTGAATATATTTAATCACCCAGCATCTACAGCACTCTGTGGTAAAGAATTCCACAGATTCACAATCCTCTGAAAGAAGAAATTCCTCCTCATCTCTGTCTTAAATATGCAACATCTCATCATGCCCTCTAGTCCCAGACTCTCCACAAGGGGAAACAATCTTTCCAAATCTACCCTGTCAACTTCCTAAGAATTGTATATATTTCAATAAGGTCATCTTATTCTTCTAAATACCAATGAGTACAGGCCCAATCTACTCAATCTGTCCTTGTAAGACAGTCTCTCCAAACTTGATATCAGTCTAGCGAACCTTGTCTGGACTGCCTCCAATGCTAATACATCTTTTTTTAGATAAGGGACCAAGAAGAAAATAACTTTTGATAGGAAGGGTGATGGGATCGGGGAATAATCATCTTTTGCAACAAAAAGTGGTCTGCCTAAGCAGCCAGTGCTGCTTTACAAGTGCAAGAGTATGCGCTTACCTTTGCCATCTGGGCCTGCACCCCACTGGACTTCAACGCAGACACTGCCTTCTGTGCAGCAGCAGGACTATCGAAATCCACAAACCCATAGCCTTGAAAAAAAATCCAACAGCATCAATACAAGTGATTCAATGGTAAACTGGACTTGAACAATCATTACAGCCGGAATCGCACATATGAATGGCGGAGCCATTCAACCAAGGCCCAAAAGATTGGCGCAGGTCGGTCTGAGATACCAAAACAAAATGCAGTCACGCACATACACAACCTCTCCAGCCAGTAAACATGCTTTGGCAATAAGATGGGGCCCACCTGAGATTCTCACTCTCCAACCTCTCTCTGCTCTTCCCCCCACTTTAATTTGCAGGGCAGATTTGAAGCAATGTTGCGTTTGCGCATGCGACCTTGCTCTGTTACTGCTTGCCGAATCCTGTGTGCAAAACCTTGCTGCGATACTGCTTGTGCAGGCTCTGGGCAAAATGGTGCCCCCTGCCCCCAGCTGTGCCCAATGCCAGCTGTGGTGCCTGCGTATGCCTGGCACCAGTTGACTGTGACCATTTGGTGTGATGAGCATGTCAAATGCCATTCAATGAAGTCCATGCATTGCACCTTTTCCAACTAAACCAAAGCTTTGGTTGGGGGGGGCGGGGGGGGGGGGGGGGGGGGGAGGCGGGGGATCCATTCCCTGGTACAGTCCCCATGTCAATGCCTTGACCAATCAGAGTCAACTTGCCTGGTTGGAATTTAAACAAAAGTTTGGCAGTTAACAGTTCCCCAGCGCATTCTCCATGGCAAGACCTCTACCAATCAGAATCTGCTTGGCAATCAATCAGCACACTCATCCCATGCTGTGTAAATTGCTGTTCACTTTGAAGTTGTGATTGTGTCTTGATGAGTGCAAGGCAGAAATGTTTCAACAGCATGTATGTTTTTACAGCAATACTCAAGTATTTTTTAATCATTGAAGACAGTCACCACCTCGCCACTCAGTTCACCCATGGTATTTTAAGCTGGTTGTGCAGAAGGTGTTACCTTCATTACAATTGATTATTGTTATCCTAGTACAGACCGGTGAACTGAGGTAACTGTTTGCCTCCCAGTGCTTCAGCAAGTAAAAGCAAAGCCCGGGATATGTGCTATTAACCCAGGCTTGTTCTTAGCCCTGTGTGGATCTGAACTGCAGCGAAAATTGGGTTCGGGAGTGGAGACTGATTGCCAGAGAACTTGTACCAGAGAACATGCTTGTGTGCAATCTTAGCATAGAACAGGATTAAGATTGGCCAAGGCGCCCTGTGCAGTTGAATGACCTGCCATAGTTATTCTCGATGACAACAACTTGCATTCATATAGCACTTTTAATGTCATAAAAAACTGCTCCAAGGTGCTTCATGGGATAATAATCTGACCAGAACTTGACACAGAGACACGTAAGGAAATGTAAGGACAGATGACCAAAACATGATAAGTTTTTTTTGAGTGTTTAGAAGGAGGAAAGAGGGGAAAGCTTCAGAAGGACTTACAGAGCATTGAATCTGGGTGGCTGATATTAGAAGACCACAAGACATTGGAGCAGAAGTAGACCATTCAGCCCATTGAGTCTGCTCTGGAAGGTCCAGGTGTGATTCCTCCTGTTCATGGAATCAGATTGGGCATCGAGTCAGACCTCAAGGAGAGGGATATCTAATTCCCAATCCCCAGTGCCCTTTGACTCTGGCTCCAATTCAAGGTCTCAATAGTGACAGTTCGAAATGCCATGCAGCCTTGCGGTAGAAGAAATGGTCAATCAATTTAACCAGAACGTTTCAAGTCTTGATTAGCATGGGGTGAAAGGTCATCAGGAAGGGAGAGGAAGGGCAGCTGGGCATGTGGAGTAGTGAGTTCAACCATGAATGTCCTGAATGACAGAGCAGAGTTGAGGGACTGAGTGGTCTACTCTTGCTCCTAATTCATATGTTCGTCGGAATGTTTGTATGTTCTATAGTAGCATGACTTTTCCTTTTGAAGAAGAGGAACCCTTCAGGACAAGTTTGAACAGCAAATCCTCACCTGGTAACTTCCCTGGCAACTGAGCAACTAAGACATATAAGCAAAGACTGAATTGGCCAAAAGCAGCCCACACTGGCAACTGGCAATCTATAAATGATCTTTAGCGTCTTTCAGCTAAGAAGATAGAATAAGCATGACTCCTTGATATGGTCAGTGAAAAATATATATTTTTATGTAATAAGCAGAAAAGGCTTGGGTTTGATTGTGATGATCCCCAACAATTTGCATTTTAATACTGAGAAATGCTCTATGGCACTTCACAGAAACAAAGACAACATAGGAACTGAGTAAGTAGGAGCTGGAATAGGCCATTTGGCCCTTCAAGCCTGCTCCACCATTCAACATGATCATGGCTGATCATCCAACTCAGTCCCCCGTTCCTTCTTTCTCCCCCTATCCTTTGATCCCTTTAGCCTGAAGAACTATTTTATAAACCTTATAGTGACTTATAAAATCAGGAGGGGTATAGATAAGGTGACTGGCAGGTATCTTTTCCCTCGGGTGGGGGATTTCAAGACTAGGGGGCTTTGACACTTTGACACAGACAGTGGTTCGTGTGTGGAATGAACTTCCAGAGGAAGTGGTGGATACAGGTACAGTTACAATGTTTAAAAGATCTTTCGATAAGTACACGAATAAGAAATGTTCAGAGGGATATGGGCCAAGCGCAGGCAGGTGGGGCTAGTTTAGCTTGGGAACATGGTCGGTGTAGACTGGTTAGACCAAAGGTTCTGTTTCCATGCTGTTTGACTCTATGAATCTATAACTATATCTAATTTCTTCTTGAGAACATTCAATGTTTTGGCCTCAACCACTTTCTGTGACAGAGAGTTCCACAGGATCACCACTCTCTGGGTGAAGCGACTTCTCCTCATCTCAGTCCTAAATGGCCTGCCCTGTATCCTTAGACTGTATCTCTGGTTCTGGACTTCTCAGTCATCAGGAACATCCTCCTGTGTTGACCTTGTCTAGTCCTGTTAGAATTTTATAGGTTTCTATGAGATCCCTCCTCATTCTTTTAAACTCCAGTGAATAAAGTCTGAATAGATCCACTCTCTCTTCATACATCAGCTCTGTCATCCCAGGAATCAGTCTGGTAAACCTTTGCTGCACTCCCTCCATCACCAGAACATCCTTCCTCAGATAAGGAGACCAAAACTGCCCACAATACTCCAGGTGTGGTCTCACCAAGGCCCTGTACAATTGCAGCAAGACATCCCTGCTCCTGTACTTGAACCCTCTCACTATGAAGGCCAACAGACCATTTACCTTTTTCACCGCCTGCTGCACCTGCAATGCTTACTTTCAGTGACTGGTGTACAAGGACACCCAGGTCTAACTGCACCTCCTCCTTTCCCAATCTATCACCGTTCAGATAATAATCTCTCTTCCTGTTTTTGTTACCAAAGTGAATAGCCTCACATTTATCCACATTATACTTCATCTACCCACTCACTCAACTTGCCCAAATTACACTGTAGCCTGCAACTTGGTTGCCAAGTCAACGAAGAACGTGTTAAGAGGGGCTGGTCCAAACATTGGCCCAAAATTTCAGGAGAAATTTGAAAGGTTTTAGGGGAGGAATTCCAGAGTTTAGGCCAGGCCAGCTGATGGCAGGATGAAGAGGGGCATCTGCACAATGGGCCAGAGTCAGAGAAATGGCGATTTTGGGGAGGGAGGTTGAAAAACTCCACGGAAAAGTTTCAACCATAGCAGTGGTAAATTTTGAATTTGAGGTGTTTGTGGACTGGAGCCAATGTCATTGGATTGTAGTGTCATTATGGCACAGAAGGTTGCAGTTCATGCCAGCTCTTTGCAAAGCAATCCAGTCAGTCCCTATCTCCTGCAAGTTTATTTCCCTCAGGTGCCTGTCCAATTTCCTTTTGAAATCATTCATCACCTCCCCTTCCAGCACTCTTGTAGGCAGAGAGTTCTGGGTCATTGTCACGCGCTGCATACAAATGTTCTTCCTCACATTCCTCTCATTCTGCTAGACCTCCTCTGCATCCTCTCAAGGACCCTGACATCCTTCCTAAGGTGTAGCACAGGGTGCAGTTGGTTTAGCTCAGCTGGCTGGACAGCTGGTTTGCAATGCAGAGTGACAGCAACACTGTAGGTTCAATTCCTGCACCAGCTGAGTTTGCCAAGGGCTCTGCTTTGCAACCACTCCCTTCGCAAAGTCATGTTGAACCTTAGGTTAAACCACCACCAATTCTCTCTCTCATGAGGAAAGAAGATCAATGGGCTAGTAAGACTATAGCAACTTTACCTTTACAGCGATGACGGATGATCAGAACTTAGCATGGGTTCGGTTACTGGCAGCAGAGTTCTGGATGAACTGCGGAATACCAGTAACAGGGGACCGTTCAGCATCTTGCTACTTAATTTGATTGTACTTTAACTGCATTTACCTGCGTCAGTTCCACAACCCCAAATGCTTGTATCCAGCAAAAATTAATCAATCCCAGTTTTGAAAATTTTAGACGACTCCCTGAGTTTCTTTTTGGTTGGTGAATGGGGAATGTTCCATATTTCCATTTCCCTTTCTGTGAGGAAGTGCTTCATCAACCCTGAACCATCTGGCTTTAATTTTAAAGCTCCACCCCCAGATGAAATGGTTTCTCTCTATTGTCCTGATCAAACCCTTTAATCATCTTAAACACCTCAGATCATCCCTTAACTTTCTGCATGCGATGGAATTGAGGCCTAGTCTATGCAATTTGTCCAAGTAAGTTAAACCTTTCAAAGTGACAGATGGAGGCTATCAGATCAGTCATATTGGATGTCAGAGCTGTTGAGCAGAGGGAGGACAAAGGTATGGGCAAGGCTTTCTATGTCAATAGCTGGGTGAGCTGAAGAAGGTGGAAGCGGGGGAATTTTGCAATGGAGGAGATAGCAAGTTGAACTGTGAGTTTATCCACTCTGGTAGCAAAACAGGCAAATAGTCCCTGAATGGTGATAGATTGGGAAAAGGGGGAGGTGCAACAAGATGTGGGTGTCCTTATACACCTGTTGCTGAAAATAAGTATTGCAGGTGCAGCAGGCG